GCTACTAAACTCCGACTTATTCCTAACTCAAAGTCTTTACTCAGTTCAAAAACTAAAGTAGTATAGAAAGTGGGCAATTAGAGCAGCTGTGAAAAGTTAAGTTGGATGCATTCAATAGGCTGCTTCCCACTGGGCTAGCTCTGCAATAGGCAGAGAAAAGGGAGCTAGCAAAAGCTCACATGCAGTTCATTTATCCCTGGAAAAGGGAGGAGTAATGACTTCTTGCTTCTTTTGAATGGAAAGGAGGATGCTAAAGGGAGAGCATGTATCCCTGTCCTGCTTGGGACTTCAATTTTGGAAACAACTGACCTGTTCTCTAAGCCGGAGAAATTCCACACCGAGTCGCACACAACTAACTACATTTTGCTTCCTTCCAAGCCAGCAATGTTTGACTAGCGCTAAAAAACAAACCCACCACCCACCCACCAGTGCACAAGGCCAAAAGGGTGGGAACAGATGAAGAGTGGGACTGGCTTATAGGCCAGACACAGGCCTACTCACCTATAAAACTCCTGGAACAGCTTCCACAAGTTAGGTAATTATACTGATATGAAAACAGAACCTTCTTTTCCTTACATTGCTCAAAATCTATTTTTCACACTATCCCACTGTAAACACATTGAAAGCAGACATCTTAGTCATCTTCCTACCACCTTCCCACCCATTCCCACCACAACTCACATCCAAAAAGACTGCAAACGTCTTGATTATACAAGTTATTTTTCATTGACATTGCTTGATTATAAAAGATGAGTTTTTGTAAGTCATCATTTTTAATGGTTCCATTTTTGGTAAGTCACAAAACTACTCTAGCTGAGAGTGCTGTGGCTAATACTCAAAGCTAAAGTCACAGCTTTCCCTACTTCATTCCCCTTTGGTTAAATCAGAGGAATAAAGAGGCTGAAACTGGGGTTTCAAGAAGATATTTTAAACAAAGTTGAAACTATGTATTTCCCACGTAGAATTAAAACTGATGACAAAAATAAACAAGAAAACTTGATGGAGGTAGGAAAGTTCCTCACACAGCATCCACTCCAGAGTACCCAGCAGTCTGAGGGATACGTTCCTAGGTCACTGTCCTTGAAACAACAGCCTGCCATATCCTCCTAATTCTTCCATGTTAGAAATGGTTATTTAAGCCTCCTCCTCTTTATTATATAGTTATGTTTAAATGTTTAGAATGCATTTGAGGGCTCAGTATAAGGATAAAAAGTGTTGGACAGTGAGGATATAGGAACATACCTATATTTTTACATCTTTTTTTTTTCCAGAAATAATTTTTTACACTACTTTTTGCTCTAAGTTAGGTTTTCCTAATAAAGTTTTAATGTCTGAATCAGATTCCCCATAATAGGAGCTACATAAGTCTCCTGATTTAAAAGCATCAAGAAGCATTATATCTATCCTTACATAGCATTCATCTTCTGCTCCCCAACCTTTGATCTAACTCCTCGAAGCCCTCAAAACACTAGAATTTAATCCAGTATTCATTGCCTACAATAAACCTTCACCTACTGATCAATTCACACCTTTCAAATCTAATCTGCAAGAGACACAACATCCATTTAGCCAAAGTGGAAAGTGACAAGCAGACCAGTGTTGAAGATCAAATTCACCACAACCTGGGGAAATCACCTAACATCTACCTGAAGGGCTGCAGAGCATATATTTAAAAACCCTACCTCTGCAGTTACATTTGACTTTAAGAAGGTATTTTAAGTAAGAATTTTAAAGGAAATTAAGAGAAATATGTAGAAATATGTTTATTGTACTTTTTAACAAGATCAACTAGAATCAACCTGAATGTTCTATAGATTTTATTTCTTTCTTTTTTTTTTTTTAAAGATTTTATTTATTTATTTGAGACAGAGAGAATGAGAGAGACAGAGAGCACATGAGAGGGGGGAGGGTCAGAGGGAGAAGCAGGCTCCCTGCCGAGCAGGGAGCCCGATGTCGGACTCGATCCAGGGACTCCAGGATCATGACCTGAGCTGAAGGCAGTCGCTTAACCAACTGAGCCACCCAGGCGCCTAGATTTTATTTCTTAAATAAAGATTTTATTTCTTTATTTCTTCTTTCTACATGGCTCAGTACTTTTCATTAGAGCACTGAGGGAGGAGGAGTCATTTATGATTTGTTTATTTCTTTGTTTCTGTATCTGAACCTGATGAAATATTTTAAGTCATGAAATTATTAAAAATTATATCTATGAAAACCCAGAGTATTTGCCATAATCCTCCTTAAAAGAAAACAAATTATATGTATATATTTTTATTAAGTATACATACACATATATATACAAATTATATATATATAATTCTATTAGAAAAATATACAGATAAGTGAAAAAATTAAAATTTATAAGGAGAGTTATATCATTTATTCAACAATTTAACTGAGGGTGTACCATGAATCAGGCTCTAGGTCAGGTGCTAAAGCTAAAGTGGTTTTAAAAAAGAAAAGACAGGGGTTGTCTGCAATAGCCAAACTGTGGAAAGAGCCGAGATGCCCTTCAACAGATGAATGGATAAAGAAGATGTGGTCCATATATACAATGGAATCTTACTCAGCCATCAGAAAGGATGAATACCCAACTTTTACATCAACATGGATGGGACTGGAGGAGATTATGCTAAGTGAAATAAGTCAAGCAGAGAAAGTCAATTACCATATGGTTTCACTTATTTGTGGAACATAAGGAATAGCATGGAAGACATTAGGAGAAGGATGGGAAAAATGAAGAGGGGGAATCGGAGGGAGAGATGAACCATGAGAGACTATGGACTCTGAGAAACAAATAGGGTTTTAGAGGGGAGGGGGGTGGGGGGATGGGTTAGCCCTGTGATGGGTATTAAGGAGCACGGAGCACTGGGTGTTATACGCAAACAATGGATCGTGGATCACCACATCAAAAACTAATGATGTATTGTATGGTGACTAACATAACATAATAAAATTTTTAAAAAAGAAAAGACAGAGGTGCCTGGGTAGCTTGGTTAAGTGATCGACTCTTAATTTTGGCCCAAGTCATGTTCACAGGGTCATGAGATCGAGCCCCAAGTTGGGCTCCATGCTGGGGTGTGGAACCTGCTTAAAATTCTCTTGTTCCTCTGCCCTCCCCCACCCGGACTCCTGTACACTCTCTGTAAAAAAAAAAAAAAAAAAAAAAAAAAAAGGACAGTTCTGGCCTCTGCCTTCTTGGAATTACAATTACATTACTAAGTGAATAAGTGAAAATAAATGCTCTTATGTAAGTATGTGGGTTTTAGTTTTTTTCTAAACAACAATGCTAATATGTTAGTATTTTAGTAATATTATGTAGGCTTTTTGGCCAGGTGTGTGTTACAAGGCCTTTGCTGGGGGCTAGACATTTATGACACAAATGTCAAGAAGTGGCACACAAAAATGACAACTATAGTTTCAAGTGCCAGTGGTGTATCATCACTGAAGGTGCCCTTTCTCATACATCCTGTAAAGAGAAAGAGAAGTCATGCTGAGGAGGACCATGAGGCAGTCCTCATCCTTCTTTCTACATGGCTCAGTACTTTTCATTAGAGCACTGAGGGAGGAGGAGTCATTTATGATTTCAAGAGACCAGCTACCTCTACATTCCTCTGAGTAACTAACACTCCTAAAGGAGCAACCAAATAAAGTGACACCTGGCACAGCACCGCGGAAAGACTGCCACCTTGAACTCTGAATTCTGACAGTGATTTATCCAGAAGGAACTTTTGTGAACGTAAGCAAGCTAAAGCTACACAATGAATCAAACTCAGTCAGCTTATCTTTTCCTGGAGCCTTTCTTTGGTGGGGATAACACTGCCCTTTCCTTTCACAGCTAGGTTTGGGCTTGCTACTTAGGTTTTCAAAATTAAAAATATACTGTTTAGGAATACATATATAACTGACAAAACTATAAAAGAAATGATAAAGGAAGAAGAGAAATGTGATTGTGGAGGGGCATATCAGGGATTATAAATCCTTACTACTCCAAGTGTGGTCCATGGATCAGCAGTGTCAACATGACCTTCAAAATTCTGTTAGAAATGCAGAATCGCACACTCCACCTGAGACCTTCTGTATCAGAATCTGCATTTTATAAGATCTCCAGCTGTTATGTAATGTGTGTATACACATTAAACCTCTAGAGTCACTGTTCTAAACACTTGTAATATGCTATTTTTATACCTGGAAGATGAGTACCTTTTGTATTATCCTCCAAAATGTACATAGTCTATACAGTCTTCTGATGATGTGACATGTCTCTAATTCAGCCTACAAATGGGCCCACTGTCTACAAACTGTTAAGGAGTAACTGTTAAAATGTGGGGGAAAGGAATGCTACATGAATCTGATCTTCAAACAGTACAAATTCAGATACAGATAAAACTTCAGGGATCACATAACCCAACCTCTTTGCTTTATGAAATAAAACCATCTGAATCAGGAAGGGGCATGCCCCCCAGGGTCAGACTGCTGAATTACTAAAGCAAAGTTGGATCAGAGCTCAAGTCTCCTGATCCTCAATAATATTTTATATCCTATAATAACACTGGTTTAATACATCATGACTGAATTTTTCCTTTATAAACAAATACTCATGTTAAAAGAGAAATCAGTATTAAATTTTTTAAAAGTAAAATAATTCTGAAAACCAGTACCTTGTATATTTAATAGTAGATGCCCAATATGTATGTGAATGAATGATTCACTTTGAGGCAGAGACAAACATTGTTATCCAACTCTTCTTAAAGGGATGAGCTAAATTATAGAATGATTAATAAGTAATTTCCTTATAAAAAAAACAGAGTTCAATTTTTAGACAATTTATAATATAGCTCCTCTACAATAACCAAAAATCACCCTTATACTTTTATCAAAATCAGAATATTTTACATGTTCATTATTTGGGTATGTGAATCTGTTTGATTTCAGTGAAATCAGTATCTGAAGTAGGACTTTTAAAATTATGTAGAATATTAAAGAACAGTAATACTCACCAATACTAATTTCATCATCTGTTTCAGCATCACCAATACATTCAAACTGGAAATCTTGCAGTGACTGGGAAAATTTCTGTACTGCCATAGACAGATCTATAATTAAAAAGTTAAAAAAAAAATCGTAAATTGAAGGTACCATGGAATATGAGATTTTCCACGTGCATTACTCTATAACTTCAATTTTAATACTTTATTTACCAGAAGCTTTTAAAATACCAGCTTGACAAATTTAAGCAGATTTTAAAGAGACTACTAGAAGAAATATTTTAGGAAATGGATCTGCTCTGCTCACAGGGGATTTACCGTTTAAGAAAGTTTTGGTGCCAGCTGTGTATTATCTGGAAGCCAATTCCCAAAGCCTTTATCAAAAAACTACCATTCACTCCCCACAAATGGAGCATTTAGAAGGAAAGAAGGAAGGAAGGAAGGAAGGAAGGAAGGAAGGAAGGAAGGAAGGAAGGAAGTTAGGAAGGAAAGAAAGAAAGAAAGAAAGAAAGAAAGAAAGAAAGAAAGAAAGAAAGAAAGAAAGAAAGAAAAAGGAAGGAAGGAAGGAAGGAAGGAAGAAAGGATGGAAGGAAGGAAGAAGGAAGAAAGAAGAAAGAAAGAAGAAAAGAAAGAAAGAAAGAAAGAAAGAAAGAAAGAAAGAAAGAAAGAAAGAAAGAAAGAAAGAAAAAGGAAGGAAGGAAAGAAGAAAGAAAGGATGGAAGGAAGGAAGGAAGGAAGGAAGGAAGGAAGGAAGGAAGGAAGGAAGGAAGGAAGGAAGGAAAGAAGGAAGGAAGAAAGAAGAAAGAAAGAAAGAAGGAAAGAAAGAAAGAAAAGTCACTAAGGTTGCTGATGGAGTGAGGAGAAAGGGAGGGGAAAGCAGCCAATCTTTGATTAGAAAGGATCCCCAATGTACAGACTACAGAGCAGGTAAGGAATGTGTTTTGATCTCCTAAGGCCACCTAAAAGGCTGTTTACGAATAACCTCATGATTTATAGGGGACCTCAAGCTAAATATATTCTTCAATCCTGGCTTCAGTCTGAACAAAGTCCAGAGTGTGACTAAATCCAGAAGAATTCTTTATTCCTGGAGAAAATAAAGAAAAGCCCAGAATAATGAGAAGTAAATCCCTGGGATGCAGCCTAACAGAGTGATTAAGAATGCAATGTGGAGCTAGGCTGCCTGGGTGGAAATCCAAGTCCCCCCAGGTACTTGCTACGTGACCTTGGGCAAATTATTTAACTCCTCTGGGCCTTTTTTTCCTCATCTGTAAAGAGCGAATAACAATCGCATAACCACTTCACACAGTTGTTTTAAGGACTGAGTAAATTAATATTTGCAAAGGGTTTAGAACCAAGCCTGGCACTTAAAAAAACTCTGTTTACGTTTTTTAAGTAAAATTATAAATCAATCTGATAGTGCAGCAACAGAGGCTTTAAAGATCCCACCTCTTGGAACTACTCTGATCATCCATACCAAACTTTCCACATAAGTTTGTGCCAGTAGCAAAACATATTTTTCTGGAATTCACTCTATAACTTCATTTAGTGGTATCTCCCATGAGTTCAAGTCCAATACCTGAACTCTTACATTTAATTCAAGCAATAGAACCCAAGAGAAGACTCTCTCCTTAACAATGTTTAGTCAGACTCCTCTGAGCCCTTACCTTGACTAGGCTTCTACCTTGGCTCCCAGTCCTCACTGGCCCTACATAGTCCAGTTTTATCAAGAATCTTGCCAAGTCAGTTGATAGAGAATTCCCCACTTTGGATACGGGATCAAAATCTTCATCCCCTACCTTTGTCCTTGGCCTACCTTCAACAAGAATCCTCCTTCCTTTGATGTCTCCTACCAGTAATTTTCCATTCCAATCAAACATCCCCCTAACCCATATAGCTCCTTGGCTATAAATCCCCACTTGTTCTTGTTGCATTCAGGGTTGAGTATGATCTCTCTCCCCTATTGTGATAGATAATCTTGACACTTTTAGCAGTCTTTTTTTTAGTTTTTTTATTTATTTGACAGAGAGACAGAGCACAAGAAGGCAGAGTAGCAGGTAGAAGGAGAGGGAGAAGCAGGCTCCCCGCTGAGCTAGGAGCCTGATGTGGGGCTCAATCCCAGGACCCTGGGATCATGACCTGAGCCGAAGGCAGTTGCTTTTAATCAACTGAGCCACCAAGGCACCCCTAGCAGTTTTGAATAAAGTCCTCCTTAACATTCTAACTGGTGTCAGAATAGTTTTTTTCTTTAAGAGAACAGTTTGGCCCCATGCCTAAACATGACCCCAGGACGTACTGTAGTAACCCACCATTCATGAAACCCCAAGCACCTATCAAAGTTAAGTACTCATGAATGAATAGGTCTTCAAACACTCTTTTGTGCCATTGTGATCCAAAAAACTCAACAACACCCTGAACAAAGACTATTCTGAAGCTGACAGGCCTTAAGCTTCAGAGAGGGTTTTTTAAAAAAAAATCAAAATATACACACAAGAGAAATTAAAAAAAAAATTCTCTGGAAAGATGATGCTACTCATAGATTACACCTCTTCCCACAAGAGGGCTAAAACTTTGGGCCAGCTGCATATTCTTCTTGAGAATTACTTTCAACTTAAGAGTGTTAGAAAGTTCTATCACCTTAAGAATGGCTCTCCATTGGGCTTTCAGAAAGAAAGATAAAGAAAGCCTTCTTAATGAATTATTAGTCAATGAGAAAACAAAGGTTTCATTAGAGCTAGACTTCACCAATTACCTTTGAGCCTTGGACAACCATTCATCCTCCCCAAAAACGATTTTTCTTATCTATACAACAGAGAATTAATACTGATCTCAAGAGGTTGTTCTAAAGACTAAACGAAGTATGTGCCTGGTACATACTAGGCAACTCAATAAATGGCATCAGTTATTATCATTCAAGTCCAACTTATAAAGGTGGGAAAGTTGACTGGCCTTCCAGACAGAAGGACACTATGCAAAAGTATGCATGTATCTGACAGTGCACAGTGCACAGGTAGAGAAATCTGGCTATGGGTAGAGAAATCATTAACACCTACATAAAATGTTATGAGAAGACAAAGAAAGAGACTCCTGGGATAATTTTAAGTCAAGCTGTATGTGGGTACTCTCCCTGAGACGGGAATCACATTCCATTTAATGTCCCTTTATTTTTCTATGTACAATATAAACGCTTATGGTAAAATGGATTTGAAATCACAGATGCAATTCCTACAGCAGAGTTGAGATGGGGGAATAGTGTATATGGATGAATCAGGATGCTTAAGAATTTTATAAGAGACATTCTTCCTTCTCTCCCCTCCTCATCACTAGTTCCTGAGAGTTTCCCCTCAAACAAACACAATGAGCTATCTGGAAGCTTTGTCCTAGGGAACTCTAACACAGTATCCCCCAATCGAACATTTCTTCCTAAAATGCTCTTTGCTTCCCATGGCCTTGCTCCTTGACTAAGAAAGGTAAGCTGCTTTGTCGTTATGCAGACATCACAGTGGATGCACTATAAGAATTCCTGTTCCCAAACAAGAACCTAAAGCCCATTTTATAAGCTATTCTTGTCAATACAGCCAAGTGATTGAGAATGTGAGTTCTAGTGGCAGAGAAGCAGGGCTAACTTCCTGCCTCTACCAATCAGTGACATAACTGTGGGCAAGTTCCTTAACTTCTCTGTATCTCAGCATCCTCATTTGTTGAGTGGAACAGAACCTGTCTCTCAGGATTGCTGTGAAGAGAAAGTGAGTTAAATATAGATGAAGAACTTAGAACAGTCTCTGGCACACAATTAAGCACTCAAAAGGTGTTGGCTATTTCCATGTTAAACATCTTAGAAAAGAAAAAAAAAAAATAATTCAGGAACGAAGGTGGCAGCTGTTAGACCTTAGATAACCTTGGAAAATGCCCAAGAGAACCATCTGCTGTTGATAGTAGTTTCAATTCTCTCTTGGTGCACTGCAATCAAGCCATGACAAAGACAACCTGATTATTCAGTATTTCTGTGTAAGAGATAGGTGTCTATTTCAACCCTGGAATGAAGAATGCACGCTCTCTCCATAGTCCTTTCAGAAGCATAACAAGGCAGAATTACATTTTAAAAACTTGGTTCTCAAGTAATTCAGATGATAATTCCAAAAATAATGAGAAGTTCGAAATATGACTTATTTTCAACTTCAACTGTCTGGGTTCTTGACTTTCCTTTTATTTGTTCTCATTTTCTAAAAACCAAAGTAATAATCAGGTCAGAAATATTATCAAGGTAAGGAACTTATGATATTTTCTGCCAAGAATATTGATCAATCTTCAAAATGAGGAATCCAGCTCACTCTCTTGGCTCTATCTTCCTCTGAACTAGAAAGCACAACACCTTTAACTGACTTGAAACTACATGAAAAACACTATTCCCTAATGGTCTAAAGTTTCTTAATAGTGGCCAGATGCACAATATAGAAGTACTTGTTCTAAAACCTTTTAAATAAAATTGATTCACATCTGACTATAAAACCTGATTTTAAAAACTCTACTGTTGAATTTTAAAGTGTCAAAATGTGTAATGATAAGAATCTGCATTTTCTCTTAAGTACAAAAAGGAAGATGAAGCATATAAACTATGACAAGCAGAGAGTTCTAGTTTAGGCAAGGGTGTCTCTTTCTCCCTATTTCTACCCAACTACTAGAACTTGAGAACAAACAAGAAAAAGATCCCAGTCAGAGCCACCTGGCCACATTCTAAGGTGAAGGTAGAGGAATAACATTTACCAGCAGGCAAGGTTGTACACATAAAGATGCCACAAATACTGCCAGTACCACGTCTTTTCCACTTGCCTAACCTACAAGTTAAGCAAGGACGTCTTCACGTATATTCACATTAAGTTGAAAGAAATTACACTGGGCTTTAATAGTCAGCAATGTTTCTATATCAGAGTTAACCTGTAGCGCCCATGATTAGATGACGCTAATGAAACACTAAAACTTCATTTCATTAGAGAAATAAAACACACTTAGTAAATAATTATAACTCTTCTTATACATTAAGAGCTACCTTTTACTTTAGAAGTGTTAATGGGATTATTTTTACAATGTTAGCTCGGAAGTGAGCTATATTT